TTTAAGTTTTATATGTTTGGATGGAAAATTAAAATCATTAATGATCAAATGATGAAATTCACAAAATTCCTTCCGCTAAATTGAAAAATATTCGATTGAAACTACTAAATTTTGAAATAGAACTTGAGTACAGACCGGGAAAAACAATCCATATAGCCGATTACCTTTCTCGTCATGCAGGAAAATATGCAGCAAATGACTTGGATAGCGACTTAGACAACTATGTACTCAGCATTAAAAAGTCAATTTCAGAGGGAGACCACTATGGACCCGATTCTAAGTGTTATTAAAAACTATTGTTTACATGGGTGGCCACACAACAAAGCCAAATGCAATGAAAAAGCTAAATGTTTTTATAAAAGCAGAAATTAAATTTATTTAGATGATGATATATTATTTTTTAATGAAAGGATTATGATACCGATAACAATGAGACAATTAGTGTTGAAGCAACTTCATGAGCCACATAGTGGAATAACAAAAACGAAAAAAAAAGCTAGAAATGCAGTTTATTGGCTAGGAATGGACGATCAAATTGAACAAATGGTTAGCACATGTAGGACTTGTCAAGTAAACGCTAATAAAAATCAAAAAGAGCCGCTTATTGCTCATGCAATACCGAAGAGGCCCTTCGAAAAAGTAGCTTGTGATATATTTCAGTTTAAGAATAAGGATTACTTAGTTGTTGCTGACTATTTTTATGTATAGAGCTCAAAGAGCTTAAGAGCAAGCAAGCCAAAGATGTAAATTTGCAATTGACTGAAGTGTTTAGCAGAAATGGAATACCTAAAATTGTAATTACAGACAACATGCCTTTTCACTCTTTCGAATGCAATGAATTCGCAAAATTGTTGGATTTCAAATTTGAAACAAGTAGTCCACATTATCCAAAATCAAGCGGTCTAGCTGAACGCGCGGTTCAGATCTGCAAGAATATAATGAAAAAATCAAATACTATACAGAATGTATATATGGCATTATTAGATTATCGAAATACACCCACAAGCGATTTATCTTTCTATTCATCTCAATTAATTAGCAGTAGGGTTTTGCGCTCTAAAGTACCAATGATAAACAAAAAATATGACCCTCAAATTTGTGCAAATGCTGTAAATCAAATCAAAAGCAAACAAGAGAATACGAAACAATTTTACAACCGAAACGCTAAAGGCCGAGAGAAATTTATGTTAAACGAAGAAGTATATGTGTGGACAGATCGCTGGGAAGAAGGTACAATATCCAAGGTTTGGCATACACCTCGTTAGTATTTAGTCAAAACGAAAAACAACGAATACCAACGAAACAGTAGAGATATACGTAAACGTGTTATTGTAGAAAACCCTATAGTACATCACTCCTTCCCTGACGACAAAGCATGTACAAGGGCAAAACGCACTCGTAGTGGTCTGAACTACTAATAAAATGTACTATATTTTGAGGCGATTATGTAATACAGATTCATACTATATTTGAAAAAAAAAAAAAAAACAAAAAAATAGTAATGAATTAAATCAAATCTAAATTTTAAAAACTAAGATTAGAGTTACTTATAGAGGAAATGTTAA